CATGACATAAAAGCATGACTCACACTTTAGAGACAGGGAATGAAAAAATAGTCATGTCCTTTACTTTAGTAAAAGTAATGATACAATCCATAATAATGGGAAATGTGTGTATATTTTACTCTGGAAGTGTGTATGGCTTCACTGGCGTGTGTTGTTACCATAACAACTTGCAATTTCTTACATACCAGTTAGGTGAATGTGAGCTCAGTGTCTGTTCAATTCCTATATCAATTCTGTTGATGCACCAGATGGCAAAAAGTCCGCTCCACATGCTCTTTGGGTTAATAATATGATGTTTAGAAAATGAATTTTGTTTATAGCATTCAACAACGTTCTCAAAAGCCTGTTGAGTCAAATTTGTAAATTGTGATTTTGGGCAATAAGAAATAAATTGTATTGAATTGAAAAATAAATATAAACTTTTGCTTATTGTCTTTTATCAAAGATCTCCTCTATGACGCCCTCCCTGCAGAAGCCTCAGGGAAATAAACCGACTTGGTAGACATCAACAAGGTATGGTATCCACGCTGTGTAAACTCACATTGGAGAGGTTTTAGTGTCTGCCAGTGACAAAGACTTACAAAAACTATGGAAGTGTTATTCACCGTTGTTATGCAATTCTCTACTTTCCACTATCTTATTCCCTACATTTATTGGCCGAAGACAAACTTTAAATTGCATACTGTTCCAGGTAATTAGAAAACCAATGTACTTTATATTCATCTGCTTTACATTTTAGAATGCTGTAGATATACATTCTGTAAATCTCTATCTTATTATACTGTCAGTTGTGTTGCATGTGCAGGTGCTTTTATGCGGCTTCAACGAAGGACATCTGGGAACATGAGGAACAAAGATCAACTGGGATCAGCTGGGATCTCCCATCACGTGCTGCATGGGATGAAATGTTGAGTATCGGAATAGGATAAAAAATAAGAATGTCTTGAATAGCTGTGGCTTTAGACCTTCGATGGTAATCAAAAGTGAATTTTTGAGGACTCGGTTTAGGTCAACTGCAACCAGAGAAGAGCTTCAATAGTGGCAAGGATGGACCTTTTATTATAGAGGCACACTTTTCACACACTCAAAGAATTTCCACACTTTTTTTTTTTTTTTTGGCTAATGAGTGATGTTTTTTTTAGGTTGGGCCATGTAGCACACATGCTTTTCTCCGCTTCCCTCTGTAATGGGAAAATGATATGTGACCCTTTTAAATGCTTCATTTGTATAACCAGTTTATTAGTTGCAAGTGGTTAGATCACAAAGGCCCTGACATAAGAACTGATGTCTCCCACTTGGATTAGATGTTTCCAGCGTCATAGCTGTAGAGATTGAACAAAGTGTTTGTTATGTCTATGACCACCTTTGTTTTAGCATGTTGGGAGAGCAAGGACACGGTCAAAGAACTGACGTGTCTTACATGGACAAGATGTTCCCTGTACCCTGGCTGTAGAGACTCAACAAGATGGTCAAGGTTTCTGTTGACGCCACCGATATCTAAACTTAGGTATAAGAACTGCCTCGATGTGTTGGGGGCAAAAAAGGAGGTTCTTGACAGTCTACTGACCACGTAGCTGTTGTGACCCTCTTTCTCTTGCAAGGAAATAAACAGAGAAAAGACATACTTACGTACGTCTCATTATTGTGACCCTTGACCAAAGGGGAAGACAGGGGCAATTTGCGTATTTATCTGGAAATCGCATAAATGGGACCCTTGACCAAAGGGGAAGACAGGGGCAATTGACAATTGTGACCCTTGACCGAAGGGGAAGATAGGAGGGATTTTGAGAGTTCACTGAAATCGCAAAATCTCAGCCCTTGACCTAACAGGAAGACAGGAACAATATCGGGGTTTTCGGACAGTAATCTGAAAACAGATATTTGCGCCCTTGACCTATATTTATTAATCAATAGTTCTGGTTGGGTTTTAACTTGTATTTTTCCTACGTAAAAGAAAATCAAGACTCATAGTGACGACTATATTTTAAGGAATAAAAAGTATACTTCACCACGCCTGAAAGATGGGTTGTGTACAGGGTAAAAGTAAAAAGGAAATGGGTTCTCCGGTGGGACCCATTGTGGATCTGATGAGAAGGAAATATGGAGATCAATCTCTAGAGTTTTTGCCCGAGTGGTCAAAAGATTTTGGGTTCCCTGCAAATGGTTCTTTCAGTAGAATAAAACTGAGCATGTTACGAACAGGCTTAGAGGGAAAAGAGAAGGGTATAAAAACTCAGAGGGTGATGAAAGGCAAAGACTTGGAGGACATTGAGAAACAAAGTAAATGGTTAAAATGGTGGGAGGATGAATGTGAATGTAGAGAAAGGAAACAAATAGTTAAAGAATTGACATGCGCAAAAACCACATTGGTTGAAAAACCAGATCCAAATGTTATTGAACAAAATGGCCGATGTGCTTCTTCTCCCTTGTATCCGAGTCTCACAGGGGCTGGCGGCCCTCTCCTCAACACATGCCCACCACCGTACCCTGCTTCATCTGCGAACCAGCAACCTTCGTCTGCATGGTCACAAGCTCAAAAAGTTCACTACACCCGGCAGAGGGAGGAAAAGGAAGCGGCAGTGAAAGCAGCACAGGAACGACTCCTCAGCGAAGAGGAGGAAAAGAGACAGGCTGCTCTCCTCACTCGATCTCGCTCTCCAGGAGCAACCGGAGGGGACACTTCTGCCATCAACAAACTGATTGCAGAGCAACCATCTACATCAGATGTTGTTTCCCCCTCTTTCGCCCCTGAGGGAGTTCCCCCAGATGCAAAATCTGTGCTCCAAACCCCAATGATTCAAGTACCAGGACACTCAGGTCCCATACTTGTTTTCCGGCCTTGAACTGATACGGACATGAGAGCTGCAATGGCTCATCTCCCGCCGATACAGCACTCGGGAAAAGTGTTTGCTGAAGCATTCATGGACTTCTGTAAGCAATTCCTGCCCAACTTTGCTGAAATTCGACGTGTTCTAATGAGTCACGTGGGTCCGACTCACTACCAAAAGCTCAACCAGCTGGTTGCAGGAGACACCAGTGCGGCCGACGTTGATTGGAGTACAAATCAAAATAAGCTGTACAGAGACGCACTCACGGCTTTGAGCGACGGCATAAAGACATTGTTCCCTGACAAAGTGGATATGACTCCCATCAACAATACCAAGCAGGCAGCGGGTGAGTCCGTCCATGATTACTACCAAAGACTTCTCACAGTGTTTAATCTTAACAGTGGCATTCAACAACCCGCCGTGTTAGGAGACGCTCTGGGGGACGTGGGAATCACACCTGAAGAATGCTTTCATGAATGGACTATTGCCCGACATAAAAATGACTGTGCAGCGTTCTGTTGCTGGAATGGAAGACTCGCGACTCGCGGATGTAAAGAAACATGCTGCGCATGCGCAATCCATGGACATAGAGAGAACTGACCACGAGGGGAAAAGGCGTTCACGTCAGATTGAACTCGCGCAACTGACTATGCTCCAAGCTGTCACTCAACTTGCCAGAAAGACCGCCCACGGGATCCCAACCAATGGGTCGGATTCAGGGGGCGTGGTCTGGGCATGACGAGGGGACGCTCCTCCTGGAACCAGGAGGGATCACAGCTGTATTCCCCCAATGACAATGATACGTGTTTCCGCTGTGGCGCACAAGGACATTGGCACAGATTGACGTGAGGCGGGGGAGAAGGAGGCTGCATGTGAGGAGGAGACGGCAACCATGCTGAGGCTTCACATGATAAGGGAAGTAAAACACACACACACCGCAGCCTGCAATGAAGAAACGCTTTCTGCACTAACTCCCTGCACGCACTCACACACACACACCAGAGCAACAACAAGCTCTCATGGACATCGCAGAGCAATTGAGAACACAACAAGAGCTTTCACTTAAACACACATATGCAAAGTTTTCAGGAAAATCATTTGAAAATATGCCCACCACTATGGTGCAAATTCAAGGGAAACTTTTATCGTTTTTGGTTGATTCGGGGGCTACACATTCTGTAATATAACAAAAGTATTTTCCAGGTCAGAAAACCGGTTTTCTCACAAGGAGCTTCAGGGATGACTATTGTAGAGAGATTTACGGCACCTATGACCAGTACACACACTGACTCAACTGACCCTGAACCAGACATCACAGTAAAACATTCCTTTTTGCTGTCCTCTTGCTGTCCCATTAATCTAATGGGCAGAGACCTCATGTGTTCTTTCGGCATTAGCCTCATCTCCACTCCTACAGGGTTGCAAGTGGTGAGATGCAGAGCCATTGACCAGATGGCAAAGACAGTTATAAGTGATCCAATGTTTGTGTACCAGTGGTGGCTTCCGGTTGACTCACAATCAGAACTGTCCCACCTGGCAGCATCACGCGTCCAGCCTGAGGCAGAGTGCATGGATGCTTCATATCTCCACTGCACTGCTCATGTGTCACATGGGCCAGATAAGCAATATGATGCATTATTTCTACAGGATCTGAATGATCAAATTGCATGTATGACATTGTTTTGGTCCACACTTAAATGTGCTGTTTCCGTTTCTCTCACCCCCTCTCAGCAGCACCTCTTTAATGTGGACTCTTCTTTCCCACACATCTCCTTGTCTAAAGCAGCAACAGACCAATGGAGAGATATGGGACCTTTTGTCGCGGCGTGCGAGGCATTGGCAGATTGGGAGGCTACACCAGATCCACTTGTGATGCGCTCTCCGTCGACAGGCTTCTTTAAACAGCCATTCGCATTTTGCACACCTGCTCTCAGATCTGTTTATGTCATGGATGAAAATAACATATTTTCTGACACACACACTGATACATTTTTGACTAATGTCTCCTCTATTTCTCCTGCCCTCAGTTCTGTTCCAGACACCTTGTGGGCAGCGCATAAATATGACGTGGGACTCATAAAAAAATGTCAACCTGTGGTCATCACTCCTCGATCAGACTTCCGTCCCCACAAACATCAATACCCACTGCGCCAAGAGGCCATAACACCGGTGTTCAACTCCCTCTTAGAGGCCGGAGTCATTGTTCCATGTCCTGACTCGCCGGTAAGAACACCTATTTTTCCAGTTAAAAAGATCAGAGATGCAGGCAAACCAACTGAGTGGCGCTTCGTGCAGGACCTAAAAGCAGTTAATGCAGCCGTCCACGCACGAGCCCCAAATGTTCCATTATGGCACAGGTTCCACCTGATGCTCGATGGTTTTCCGTGGTTGACCTCTCAAATGCTTTTTTCAGTGTCCCTGTGGACATTGACAGTCAGTTTTGGTTTGCGTTTAATTTCAATGGCAAGCCTTACACTTTCACACGCTTGTGTCAGGGCTACACAGAATCACCTACGATCTACAACGAGGCACTCAGGGAAAGTTTGGAGAGCCTCACTTTGTCTCCAGGAACAGCTCTTTTGCAGTATGTTGATAACTGTTTAATTGCAGCTCCAACACAAAAGCAGTGTGAACAGGACACACTCAAATTGCTTCAACACTTAGCAGCAGAAGGACACAAGGCCAGCCTATCCAAACTACAGTTTGTTTCACAGAACGTTCATTTCCTAGGCCATAACATTTCCGTTGAAGGGAAGACACTATCACCAAAACGCATTGCCTCAATTGTAACACTTCCCAAACCACAAACCAAGAAACAGATGATGTCATTTTTGGGCATGTGTTCCTACTGTAGGTCATTTATTCCAAATTACTCCCAACTCGAGCAACCTCTGTCCGCATTGATACATGGAAAAAATCTCAGCGCGCATGATAAAATTCAGTGGCTCCCTGCAGCCTCTCAAGCTTTCACGTTATCCTGCATCTCTTCTCCCCACTCCGGGGGATGGAGAGGAGCATAATTGTTTGGCTGAGCTGGAAGCTCAGTGCACACCTCGACCAGACCTCTCAGATACACCTCTGCTCAACAGTGACATGGTAATGTATGTTGACGGATCTGCTTCACGGGATCCCCTGACTGGTTCTAATCTTGTGGGTTTCTCTGTTGTTTCAGACTCAGCTGTTCTGTGTTCCGGCCCTCTTCCATGTCACCTGTCACGGCTGTCACCGTTGTCTGTATTTTTCTGTCTTGTCTTGCCTGTACCAAGTAGGCTGTGCGGCCCTGTGGACTGAAGCCCCGCCTACTTCCTGGTTTCGGTGGAGCTCTGTCAGGCTCACTACAGGTCCACCCATTGGTCCACCCTGTCCCAGCGCATCCAATGGCATGTCGCCACCTCAGCCTTACCACCAGCTCTTAAGGAGAGCCCACCAGTGGCTCGGGGCAGCTCGTCATGGCAGGTTGACTTGTGTGCCTTCTGTGTTTGTATTTGAGTGCAACTGAGTCAAGTACTGTGTTTTGGTTCTTGTGTGTTTTTACCAGCACGGGGCTGGCAAAAAGGGGGGAGTTAGGGTAAGAGTCGGTACTGATTCACCACACGTAGTTTTGTGCCTGTTAGCTTCATAGGTGTAGTGGGTGCTGTGCTCTTTGTGTTTTTTGGTAAGCGCCTACTGTTTGTTTAAATATAATATTCAGGCATAGTCCTCCTTTTGGGGATCTCTTTTATTTAACTTGGTTTGACTTTTTCACAGCACCCTTATCCACTCTCCTTTTGTTTGTTGTTACCTGCCTGTCTACCTCTGGTTGCAAATAAACACTACCTTTTTACAACCGACCAGGTTCTGCCCATATGTTTATGGTCCCCTCACCCCTAGACCACCCGGGGGTTGTAACATATATGGGGGCTCGTCCGGGATCCCTTTCTAGAGGAATCCCAATTGGCAGAGATTGGTCGCGTAGTCAATTTGTGTGACTAGCCGGAGCGGAGTACGGTAATGAGGTGCCGCTTGCCTGAGTGAGGGACTCATGGCTGCTGCCCAGTTTGACCTTGAAGCTTTCCTAAGCCAGCCCTCAGTGGAGCAGTTTAATGTGTGTCGGAAAGATGATTTGCTCCAGTTAGCAGCCCACTTTGGCATCTCGGTTCCCAAAACTATTCTTAAAAGGGTGTTAAAACCTATGCTATCGTTAGCATTAGTCAAGAGGGGGATAATTGTAGTGCCAGAGCTGCCAGAGAAAGAGCTCATGTTGCTGGTTCAGATGCCAAAGGGGAGGTCACGCCTACCCCTGACCATGCTACAGACGTATCGGATACCGACAGAGCAGGTGAGAGGCCTGCGACTCCTCTCACCCTGCCCAGGTTTGATCCTTCCTCTGTTAGTAGTGCTCAAACGCTAGGAGGAGCGCGGCTAAAGGTTCGCCTTGCCCGCCTCCAGTATGACGCACAAGACAGGGAACGCCAGATGCATTTCCAACTCGAAGTACGGCGAATGGAGATTGAGGCTGACCAGGCGGTGCGCCTGCGGACACTAGAGCTCGAGAGCGCCAACGCAGCCATGGCTGGTGGGGCCGTGGGTTCTGGTGGTACAGCTTCTCTCCCCCACTCATCCAAATTGGACTCGGTAAGTCCAGGATTTGATGCAAAAATATTGCTTTAGTACCTTTCTTCCGAGAAGCTGAAGTGGACTCGTACTTTCAGGTTTTTGAGCGAATAGCCTTGGCATTAAAATGGCCGTCTGAGGTCTGGTCTTTATTGTTGCAGTGCAAGCTACAAGGCAAAGCAGAGGAGGCTATCGCTTCCCTTTCTGTAGAGGATAGTACAGACTATGAGACAGTGAAATCAGCAATCTTGCGAATTTATGAGCTTGTGCCCGAAGCTTACCGACAAAAGTTCCGGTCACATAAGAAACCAGCAACGTTACACAGAGTTTGCCCGAGAGAAACCATACTCTTTGACCGGTGGCTTGAGTCATCTAGTGTAGCTGGGTTCACTTAGGGAACTTTGCTTAGTAGAGGAGCTTAAAGCTTAAATGAGCTTAAATGAACAAAAAGTGTTAACGTTATCTGCTGCAGCTACGTTAGCGGATGAGTACATGCTAATCCACAAACCAGCCTTTCCTCAGGTTGTAGACAGTGCCCGCCGCGGAAATCTAAACCAGTCTAATCCTCCTAGGCACCCCAGTCTGAAGGAAGAAGAGTGCCGTTGTTTTTATTGTCATAAGAGTGGACATGTTATTGCTGATTGTATGACTTTGAAACGCAAAGATCAGCTGTCATCGCATGTGCATCAGCCCAAAGGTGTCGGGTTAAATAACGATTTGCGAAGCCCTAAACTAAACTGTGACAACCAAAGTGAGGTTGATTCCTGTTTTTGCCCATTTGTACTCGAAGCCCTTATTTCACTGACAGGATTGCCAGCAGACCAGCAGTCTGGTAAAGTGCTACGAGACACCGCCTGTTCCCAATCAGTGGTGTTGGCTTCTGCGTTACCCTTTTCAGCTGAATCCACTTGTGGATTCGCGTCCGTCTTAAGAGGCATTGAAATGGGATATGTGCCTCGGCCTGTGCATAAGGTACAAATCTAGTCTGATCTCGTCAATGGGTTTTTCCCAGTAGCAGTGTGTGATGAACTTCCCATACAGGGTATTGTGCTGCTCCTGGGAAATGACATAGCCGGGGGTAATGTTACTCCAACTTTGGAAGTGTGCGATGTACCAAGGGTTCCTGGCTGCAGCACAGAGTTACCCAAAGTATTTCCGGCCTGTGTCGTCACTCGTGCGCAGGCACGCCAGTTGGCGTTCGAGTCGGATATTTCGCTAGCTGATACAGTGTTTTGTGAGCCTTTTCAGACCGCTGATCCAACTCCAGTGAAGGAGCCAGCGTTGGTGGAGTGCGAGACCGAAACGTCCCCTTCCTCCCCACCACTGCCAGCTACAAGAGAACGCTTGGCCGTGGCTCAGAGAGAGGATCCAACCTTACGGGCCTGCTTCAGGAATGTGGTGAGTGACAGCAATACAGCAAGCGGTGAAAAAGTAGCGTTTTACCTAGAAAATGGTGTGTTAATGCGGAGATGGTCTTCAGGGGTAACTCCAGATGCAGATTGGCAAAGAGTGCATCAGATTGTAGTGCCTTCAGTTTACAGACAGCATGTCTTATCGGTCGCCCATGAAAGTAAATGGTCAGCCCACTTAGGAGTCACTAAGACTTATCAGTCAGTGTTGCAACATTTCTTCTGGCCTGGGTTGAAGACCGATACAGCTACGTTTTGCCGTAGTTGTCATGTATGTCAGATGACCGGGAAGCCTAACCAAAAAGTTTCCCCTGTCCCTCTACATCCCATACCTGTGATTGAAGCACCTTTTGGCAGAGTGATTATCGACTGCGTAGGTCCTTTGCCACGCACTAAGAACGGCAAACAATACCTGTTCACGATGATGTGTGCCGCTACTCACTTCCCTGAGGCTGTCCCACTCCGTAACATCACTGCAAAGAGCATAGTTAGGGCGCTAACTAAATTCTTTTCAACTTTCGGTTTACCCCGTGTAGTACAGTCGGACCAAGGCTCTAATTTCCAGTCCAGGCTGTTTAAAACAGATACTAGGGACGCTCAATGTACGCCATGTTGTTTTGTCTGCATACCATCCTGAGTCACAGGGTGCGCTAGAACGGTGGCACCAGACGTTAAAGTCTATGCTTAAGAAACATTGCCATGACAATGGCACTGACTGGGACGAGAGCACTCCATTCGTTTTGTTCGCTGCTCGCGACGCTGTACAGGAATCACTAGAATTCAGCCCTGCCCAGCTGGTGTTTGGACATACACTCCGTGGTCCTCTGCAAACATTGCATGACCAGTTTCTGTCGTTGCAGGGCGTTCCCGCACAAAACGTGCTAGATTATGTTAGTCAGTTCCGCGAGCGACTGCACAGAGCTAATGCCCTCGCTAAGCACATGTTGACTACCGCACAAACCGCTATGAAACGGAATTACGATCGTTCCGCTGTGGAACGTACCTTCAGTGTCTTGGCGCTACTACCAGTACCAGGCACCACGTTGTCCGCCAAGTTCTCAGGGCCATATGAGGTTCACGAAAGGCTCAGTGACACTGACTATGTGCTAAGCACCCCTGATCGGCGTAGGAAAACACGTGTGTGCCACATCAACATGCTAAAACTTTATCATGCCAGGAATAAGGGCCCAGACTCCGAGGTTACTGCTAGGGGGTGCAGACCGCACTCAGTTATTGGGAAACCTCAGCCTGGAGTGGTAGCATTAACTGTCTCTGACCCTATGCCTTTACCAGACGTCGACGATGTGCGGCCGCGTTGTCCCGTCTATCCAGGATCCCGTCTCACTAACTCGGAGGCGATTGAGGCATTACCTACCTGCTTACCACATCTGTCCCATGCCCAAAGGCAGGACGTGATAGAGTTAATTACGCAGTTTCCAAGCTTGTTCAGTGACGTTCCAGGCAGAACTAACGAAGTAAAACATGATGTTGAACTAACAAACCCGCGTCCCATTAAGCAGCATCCGTACCGTGCAAATGTAATGAGGCGTGAAGTAATGAAAGGTGAGGTAGAGTACCTCCTCCAGCATGGCCTTGCCAAGCCTAGTTCCAGTCCATGGAGTTCTCCATGTCTTGTGGAAAAGAAGTCTGATGGTTCTGCTACCTTCCAGAGATTAATAAACACCGTGCTAGCCGGTGTTAGAAACTGTAATGCCTATATGGATGATCTCATTCTCTACTCAAATACCTGGGAGAGTCACATGCTCACCCTCTCGGAAGTGTTTTCTCGCCTTGCCCACACCAACCTTACCATTAACCTCGCTAAATGTGAGTTTGGAAAGGCCACTTTCTAGACCTATCTAGGCCATCAAGTTGGACCAAGGTCAAGTTCGTCCAGTGGAAGCAAAAGTAGAAGCTATTTCTTCAAGTCCAGTTCCAGTCACTCGTAAAGCGTTGCGCTCGTTTCTCGGTCTGGCTGGTTACTACAGAGCTTTTTGTAGGAACTTCTCGTCTGTGGTCGAACCGTTGACCAGGTTGCTTAGCCCTAAAGTCGACTTTATGTGGACCCCAGAGTGTCAAGTCGCGTTCGATAGTGCTTCTCAGCCCAAGCAGCAGAATTAATCGCGCAGAATTAATCAACAGAAGCTTGTAAACTAGCTAAGGATAAAACGACAACCATTCACACTGATTCCAGATACGCTTTTGCCGTGGTGCATTATTTTGGCGCGCTGTGGAAACACAGACATTTTCTCAAATCAGATGGCAAACCAGTGTTACACCACACTCTTATAGCAGAACTATTGGATGCCATTTTGTTGCCAACAGCTATTGCCGTTTGTAAATGTGCATGACATCGCAAAGGGGAATGAGCGAGCAGACTTAGCTGCAAAAGCGGCTGCTAGACGTCCTCTTCCCAAACCATCACGCCCAGTTCCTGCCATGTGTTCTCTTCCCTCCTCTCTTGCAGCCGTGCAGTCCCTCTCTACTTCAGATGAGAGACGTTTTTGGTTCTCCTCCGACTCCAAATTCATAGACGGCATCTGGTATGGTCCGAATGGTAATCCATGCTTACCTAAACATTTCTTCCCCCACTATGCGAAATTGACTCATGGGTAGACCACGTGTCAAAAGGGGGAATGTTAAGTATCATTGATGCAACATGGTTCACAAAAGGCTTTGCAGCTTACGCACAAAGGTTCTGCCAAGCGTGCATAACATGTGCAACTCACAATATAGGTCGTTCAGTACAGGTGTCACATCACGCAGCACATCCACCGCCTGCAAGACCGTTTGAACATGTAATGATGGATTTTGTGGAACTCTCCCCATCGGAAGGTAAGAAACACTGTCTTGTAATGGTAGACATGTGGTCCAAATGGGTTGAGGTGTTTCCCTCCACACTGCATGAAAAGTGAGATTTTCGTCCCCGTAAACGCCCGGAAATCTCCCTAATTTCCGACAATTTCCGACAATTTGCAAGCCGCACACGTCGCGTTTGTCTGTGCCACAAATTGTCGGAAACGAACCATGACGTAGGTGGAGAGCTGGCGGAGGTGCGAATGGCCCGAATTAGCATATGAATGCAGCGAAACCGCGGGTGGCCGAGCCGAGCGGGCTTGAATATCCTTACTCCTTATTGGATGAAACCACAACTTACTAACAAATAAAATCACTCGTGATTGGCAGCAAAACCACACCTGGGCAGACAAGGCTTGAGTTTCCTTGATCATGATTGGATGAAACCACAACTTTCAATCACTCGTGATTGGTTGGCAGATCTGTCGCTACTGGTCACCCGCCTCATTTTATTTATATATATTTATATATTCATATTATGCTGTATATTCATTTCATGGTTATCTTATGTAGGCTACTACACTATTATTAGGATACCAACCAGGACATCAATGAATTTATAGAGAAAAGTAACATTTACACACAATCAACAACTATATACAAAGTGAGGATCTGCCCACACTTGGGTAACGGCGGTTTAAAAACTACAGCTCAGTAAACTGTCCGTTTGCCTCCTCGGGGTTGTAGACCGTCACTGGCGCCGTGTTTTCCGAGGCAGGTCTGTTGTGCAGGCGCCTCGTGTGTGTGGCGACCGTACAATCCACCCCGAGACCCCGCCAACAACGCCGTCCCCTTCGTCCGACGTGAGCTCTACGGTGTCGGATTTCCAGAGTTCCACCTCGTCATCAGCCAGCACACTTTGTCTCGATTCCAGCAGCTGTAAAAACAATAATGAATCAGTACTGTGCGATGCGATGCGTATGGACACAACACATCTATCAATGCACCTGAAAAAAGTCAGCAAATAAACTCTGACCCTCTTTCTTCTCGCTCGACTCCGCGTTGAATCCTTCGCAGCTTCCGCAGGCAATGAGTGTTCCGGCTGAACCTGAAGCTCCTGCGTCCCGTCTCAAAATACGTCTCACAGGCGGCTGGAAAATAATTAAATGAGTGTGGTATGAATTAAAAAAAATCAAACGCAAGTCACAGTAACATTTAACAAAGAAGGAGAAACAGTAAACAGTGTCACTTACACACAATGACGTCGTCTAAATCTGGACTTTTCCCGGAGCAAATACGAGGTCACCGTCTCATTATGAGGCGAGATTAGTCTGTGAAAACAAAATGTACAGTTATGATCGGTATCTATACGTGTATATTCCCTTATACCGCAGAATGAAAGCATATTCTTTAAATCTGACCCTTGCTCCGGTTCGTGGCGCCTGTAATTCGTCTCGGAGTTGTGAAGACGGCGCACCGCTTCCTGTAAACGACACGGCAAAGAAAACACACTTTAATAAAGCTGTTTCTGCTCACTTGTAAGGCTACTAGGCTACTCTTAGCTTTCGTTTTAGGCTACGCTACTTTTAGCTTAGCTTGCAGTCATCGAACGTATTCTTACCGCTATCTTGGGATTGTGCGCCCGTCTCCTCTTCTTTGAGTCGGTTCCTCTCCTCCATGAACAGAAACCCGCAGAGTCCCGACTGCTCCAGTGGAGCGAACCGCTCGTTGATATCGGCAGTTTGTTGTTGGAGTTGACGAGACAATCCACTGAGAGCATTCAGCAGCTTCTTCTCGTCTGTCTGCGGACTGGACGAAAGTTGGTGACCGCGGAGAGGAGTTGAAGGCGAGTTGAGCGCGAGACGTCGTCCAGCTATTATTCACGAAGCAGCAAAAACCAAACAAAGTAACTGGAGATACAGTTCTTCTGAATATAGTAACACACACGTGTCTGTTTGTATGCTCGTCTTGCAAGTACTGCTGTATCAGTCATGCCTATGACCTCACACGTGATTGGACGAGGAGTCAAAGGGTCCTCCAATCACATACGAGGTTATTGTTATACGGAAGGACCAGTATTTTAGGAAGACAAATGGTTGGGACTTTGAAACAGCTGATATGCTTTATGTAAAGCAGTGTTTTGGTGTCAGCAGAACGACTTTCCCTAGAAAACTGTACAGTGGTGCCTCTTTCTCCATTCCACCAGACACTCTTGGATGAGTCTGACAGACATGCAATGTTGACAATGTATCATCAGATGTACCCTTGTGTCACTGAGGTTGAATGTTTTGCCATGACATGTAAACGGGTAACATATATGAATGTAACTTACTCAATTGATAGATGGAGAGCATAAAGGTCAGCATGTGTTCATGCTAAGTGGTGTGGAAACACTAACAGTTTTGAGGAACCCGTCCTTGACCCTCTAGCAGAACTGCGACCAGCCATTCATTATAAAGCAGTTTATAGTTGTTAATGTTGTGTCAAAGGGTACGGCATTTAAACATGTTCGTGCACACGTTTCCTGGCTTCATCTCCACCCGGACAGACATTTTTATGGAAAGCCAATAGAAGTTTGGTGCTTGCAGGGAACAGACATGTCATACCCAGCATCATTTCTGCCAGTTGAGCGCATTGCTAGAAGATGTGTGGTTAATATATCCTCTGTGCATTTAAGTAATACCAAAGAAAAGGTCACTGTAGTCCTGCCACTATGCACTGTAGTTGAGCTCTAGGAGACTGTGATCTCTGCAGACCCCTCATGCTGATTCAAATGTTGTTTACATGGAATGCTCATTTTACCTTGATTAAAACTAATTTTTTAAAGAAGTTATTTTTTGTATCTTTTTTACATAACATTTGCCATTGCTAATGGCGTACACAGTAATCTAGCATATTTGAATTAAATAAATCAATTCAAGCTAAAATGTAAGAGTCTATAATTAGGCTACTGAGCCTGATCTATTTGTACCAGAGATTTTCTTACCTTTTAAAAAAATGTCACCTGGGCTAAAACTCCCTCTGCGACCCTGATTTGCATTTGTTTAGCTCACAGCATTTTCATTTACATGTCAAAGCCTCCCCTAGAATTAGGAGGAGAGGGGTCATGGGGGGACAACTGCCAAGGGAGGCCCACATCAATTTCTGACAATTTATGGCAGTTTTCGGCTTTGCCCGCAAATTGCCGCAAACCTGAAATTCCACGACAATTTACAGTGCCGCATACTGCCGAAAATCCCACTTTTCATGCAGTGCCAGTAAGCCTCCACAGTGGCTAAAGGCTTGATTTCAGAGATCATTCCCCGCTGGGGAATCCCAAGCAAAATCTCTAGCGACAATGGTTCACATTTTGTCAACCAAGCAATCGCAGAATTAAGTGCATACCTGGGTATTGACTTAAAAACACACTGCACATACCACCGAGCTAGTGGAGGAGCGGTAGAGAGAGAGAATGGAACATTGAAAACAAAACTGGCCAAATGTTGCACAGACACAGGTCTACCGTGGACAAAAGCACTGCCATTGGTTTCTGATGTACATGCGGATGAGGAAACGAACACGCAACAACCTAAGCCCATTTGAAATCCTTTTCGCAGTTCCTCCTGTTGTGTTCAAAAACAACTGGTTGCCGGTTACCTTTTCGATGGCGCCGTGTGAGTGAAGAAAATCGATCGCTGGGCTTTGTTCAGATCAGCTGTTCCTCCGTCCGTCCATTGCTCTCCATCACGTCGGGGTCACCAAATTGTTGTGTTCAAAAATGAAGAAACGCCGGACGGACAGAGGTCATCGCTGATCGAAAGGTTCCAATCAAATGTATTTAATAAAGGAGATGGCGTTGCGGTAAAAAGAACATCTCAGCTGAGGAGCCGCTGGTCTCAGCGACCAACAGGCCCCAGGTCAGACCATCCCTAGTGCCCGTCTGTCGCCTCCACCAGTGAACTCGAGAACAATGGTTGCTACAGGTATTTATAACAATGCTTAAAGGTGTGAAAGTCAGTGTCCACACCTCTGGGAGTGGTCTTCTGGTGAGTTCAATGTAATTCGGGATTTCGAATGATCCTTAGTCAATATCAGTTGTTGTGCAAGTATTACATGCATGCATTCCAGTTGATTACATTACATCAAATACAATCATAACTGCATCAATATTATTCTATTACAGTTGCAGATTTACAGTGGTTTTACAATATTGTCATTACTTTATGGATTACACAGTTTCAGAATCATGGCTGTATTCTGGTGTACACTATATGCATTTTTATTAATTTTATGAACCGAGTCGTATATTTGTTTCTAATATCCTACACTCCCCATATAGCTGTGGAAGCTCCAGGAACACCACTCCCTTCCACCACAATGTGCGAGAATGGCATGTTAACCTATTGCATTCGACTGTCTTCCACTTTGTCTGATGTAAGAAAACAGGTTGTAGCTGCACTTCCGAGAGAAGCAACGGGTCCACTACACCGACTGCAACCAGGTGACTTCGTGGTGGTGAAGGACTTCAGGAGGGAAAGTTGGAAAGCTAAACGGTGGCAGGGTCCATTCTAGATTCTCCTGGTCACCCAAACAGCGGTCAAGGTAGCTGAAAGGGCAACTTGGGTCCACGCATCCCATTGCAAGAAGGTTCCAGATCCAGTACCAGCAGTGGGCTCAGGCGCCCCTACCTCCACAACAAGTGTCAATCAACCGACACCACCGATCCAGTGACCACGGACGGGCAGTTGACCGTCAGACACACAGTGCATTGTGATCTGTGTTGACTGTCTACAACGCGGATGCCTCACAAAAAAGAAGGTTGTCAGACGCCACATCCCAACGTGTACCTGCGGACCAACACAAGAAGAAGAACACGGCCAGGACCCCTCCACATAGACACAGTAGTCGTTTGCGCCACGACAGTTTTATTCATATTATTGCTTGCTTCAGTTTCATTGTATCTCAGCATCTTTTTGTGATTCCGCAGTCCGCTACCTAAAGAGTGGTTCTCTCTTATCATGGAACGACAGCGCTCATGGAACCCCCTCAGACGACTGGGGGGGACTCGTGTAACCATGTGTTTATTTGCAGGTGTCACTTTATTTGTGTTGATTCCATATTTTGTCCTCCATCTAGAAACATTTAGACGACTTAATTGACCGACGCAACAACTCAACTCACTCTAACTCGACCCTTCGCAACCGCACCAAGCGAGCACTGACCCGCATGCCGGGACAGCATATTCTATATCTGTATGGTGTGATAGGGAATCAAGTTCCGGTATTGTGATTTAAATATGTTTTCATTTCTTTTTTATTTCAATACTGTACATATGACATCTGGGGTGTAACGCTCAAATCCTGTGAGATGGTTTCCAGTCTTTTTCTTCTCCTAACAGATTTCTTCCTATTTTCCCCCATTTCAGAGGGTTTTTTTAGGGAGTTTTTGTTCTGTGGCAGGTAAAGTTTTGTGAGCGATATTCAGATGTTCATGTTTTGTGATATTTGATGTGGTAAATATCAGATGGTAAATTTTTAGAGTAGGCATTCTAAATTGATGCATAGTGTGTGATTATTATGTAATCAAAAGATGAGATGGAACAGAGTGTTCGTTATGTCTATGACCACCTTTGTTTTAGCATGTTGGGAGAGCAAGGACACGGTCAAAGAACTGACGTGTCTTACATGGACAAGATGTTCCCTGTACCCTGGCTGTAGAGACTCAACAAGATGGTCAAGGTTTCTGTTGACGCCACCGATATCTAAACTTAGGTATAAGAACTGCCTCGATGTGTTGGGGGCAAAAAAGGAGGTTCTTGACAGTCTACTGACCACGTAGCTGTTGTGACCCTCTTTCCCTTGCAAGGAAATAAACGGAGAAAAGACATACTTGACTCAGAGCCTTTGTTTCTTACTTAACGATTGTCTGTGCAAAATCTTCCACCACACCTCTACTTTTTTTAAGACATTTTTCGGCTCTTTTAGCCATTTCACTTTATTATTTGTTACGTTGGGTATCGTAGCGAGTGAATGTGGCTCACAGGTAGAGTGGATTGTTTGCAGTTTGATCCCAGGCTCCCAAATTGCCCCCTATTGTTTCACCATATGAGCGTTTGGATTGGTTTGAAGACTAGAAAGGTACAATAAAGTAAGACAACTCCATGTCCGTTTACCATTTATCAATGAAAACCGTGACAATTAAAGTCTAAAAGGGCCTTACATGTAAGTCACTTACAGTCTTCATTATTACACAAGGCACATTTTGATGACAATGATGAGGTTATTTATGTCTTTTCGATTTTTCGATTTCTCTCGATTCTCTCTGGAACGATTCGGTCTCGATTCAGAAAAGTTAATAATCAATTTAAAAAAAAAAAAAATTCCATCTTGCGCGGGATATTTGCTCGCTCGCGGAGCGTGAACTTCCTCGCTCGCTTCCTCCTTAGTCTCTGCTTTGACAGTAAGGGGGCAGAGCCAGTGACCATGGTCCCTACACATGATTGGTTACAAACCGCGTCTTTGGATTGGCTGGAGTGATGCATTCACACAACTATAGAAGCTCATTTCTGCACTAATGTAAGGGGATAAAAATTATGAGGAAAAACGTTGTCAAAAAACTAACGCCCCCGCGGCCCGGTGGTTGGGGACCACTGCCGTAGATGACAACCAGCTATAACCTTTCATTTACCATCATTACCGGCACATTAAGAGCAATGCGTCCAGCTCGCAGACCGGTCCGTTGTCTGAATCTGAATATATCTTGCCAACTTTACCGAACTATGAAGGAGCCTGCGCATATCTTACCTCATTATTTCGATTTTCCAAAAAGTTGATCCGTATTGAAAGTTGGCAAGATATTCACAGATTTGGACTTTTTTCCGGTATTTTACGAATACGGACCGGTCTGAGACTAAGAGCAGCTTTTTCTTCATTTAAAAGAAAAAGTAGTTTAGAATCGATAATCGGTTTAGAATCGATAATCGGTTTAGAATCGAATCGTTGACCTCTGAATCGGAATCGAATTGAATCGTGAGATTCCCACCCCTAATCATATCTATCTGTGTGTAGTTGTCTCCAAATGTTATGGTATACTATGCTATGTTATTTGTTTTTTCCGACCATTATACTACAATCATTTTGTCTCATGGCATTTCATTATCTTACAGCTATCTTTATGACATACTACATAATGAGACTTTCCATGACATTTTGCTACAAGCTATACTCACTGAGAGCATTATTTATTGGTGTTTCCTCACTCGGAGTCCCCCTCTTTTGGTTGTCTTGCATCTTATTTTAAAGCTCTGATGAGCCTCCCTGTGCCTCTGAAGCTGTTCCTGGAAAACATTTTCTGGAGCTCGGAGATGCAAAGAAACCATTAATCAAATATAAAAAGTCATCTTTTTCAGGCAAATATCTTCTCATCTTAATATCCTCCCAGCCCGCTGCTCCTGTTGTTAATTCCTTTTCAAGAAGTTTAAAGCAAACCTTAAGATGGCACAGAATTTTAAAATATTTTACTACTAAAACACTTTCAATATTCAACATAACTTATCTTTGCACAGCTGGTTATGAGAAAAAATATCCTTACCTTACAAACGTGTGTGACAAGTAAAAGCACCTGTCTTTTTTATTTGTTTTGTATTGAAGGACAAATTTAAGTCACACAATGTCACAACCAAGGTAATGTTTTTACTTCTATTTCACTGTTCTTATAGGAGGAGTGAATATGATTTGTTTATATCCAGTAGGGAGCTGCAGATTGAAACTGACTTTATAACCCTGTTTTTTATGCTTTTAAAAATATTAGTATAATTTAAAAAACAAATGCATTCTGTTGTTAGGACAGCGGTGGTGGATAGGAGGCCGCAGACAGTGTAGATTGACTCAGGTTTATCTGGGGTTTGGTTTGTCCCTACTAGGATGCTGTAGAAACACAGAGATGCAAGATAGCGGACGCCGTGGAAGATAACCCATCCCTTGTGTCGATGTAATCAGGAATCAGGAATCAGGAAACATTTATTAGCCAAAATATGTCAAACATACAAGGAATTTGTCTTGGTGGTTAGTGCGCGACAGTAGACAGACAAGACAAGACAACAGTGCACAACTAATAAAATAAAGTGGAATGAAATGCTAATTCAATGGGTTAGTAGAATAAGGCTAAGGCTATGGGTTAGTATAAAACAAGGGAATAAAGTTAAAAAAATTTAAATATTAAAAAGTTAAAAAGAAAAATATTAAGCATAAAGTGCACTAACAAACAAGTAACAGACAAGAGACAAAGTGACAAGTGGCAAAGTGATGAATTGCAGTTAAAGTGGCATGTGCAGTATGAGGGGGAGTGACCGGTGGAGTGTTATAGTCAGGCAGTGGGGGACCGGGCTCTGTTGATGAGCCCGACTGCCGACGGGAAGAAACTGTTCGTGTGGCGGGAGGTCGTAGTCCTGATGGACCTCAGCCTCCTGCCAGATGGAAGGGGCACAAACAGTTTTTGTCCGGGGTGGGAGGGGTCGGCCGCGATCTTTTTAGCTCGCTTCAGAGACCTGGAAGCGAACAAGTCCTGCAGGGACGGCAGATTGCAGCCGATCACCCTCTCTGCAGAGCGGATGACCCGCTGAAGCCTGCCCTTGTCCTTGGCTGTGGCTGCAGCGTACCAGACGGTGATGGAGGAGCAGAGGATGGACTCGATGATGGCCGTGTAGAAGTGGACCATCATCGTCTTTGGCAGGTTGAGTTTCTTCAGCTGCCTCAGGAAGAACAACCTCTGCTGAGCCTTCTTGGTGATGGAGCTGATGTTCAGCTCCCACTTGAGGTCCTGGGTGATGATGGAGCCCAGGAAACGGAAGGAATCCACAATAGTGATGGGGGAGTCACACAGGGTGATGGGGGAGGGTGGGGCTCTGTTCCGCCGGAAATCCACAACCATCTCCACTGTCTTTAGAGCGTTGAGCTCCAGGTTGTTCTGGCTGCACCACGACACCAGATGGTCAGACTCCCACCTGTAGGCGGACTCGTCCCCACCAGAGATTAGTCCAATGAGGGTGGTGTCATCCGCAAACTTCAGGAGCTTGACGGACTGGTGGCTGGAGGTGCAGCTGTTGGTGTACAGGGAGAAGAGCAGAGGGGAAAGAACGCAGCCTTGGGGGGAACCGGTGCTGATGGTCCAAGAGGCTGAGACATGTTTCCCCAGCTTCACGTGCTGCTTCCTGTCAGACAGGAAGTCTGTGATCCACTTGCAGGTGGAGTCGGGCACGTGCACCTGGGAGAGTTAGTCCTGCAGCAGAGACGGGATGATGGTGTTGAAGGCAGAGCTGAAGTCCACAAACAGGATCCTGGCGTAGGTTCCTGGGGAGTCCAGATGCTGGAGGATGTAGTGGAGGGCCATGTTGACAGCATCGTCCACAGACCTGTTGGCTCTGTAGGCGAACTGCAGGGGGTCCAGGAGGGGGTCGGTGAGGGACTTCAGGTGGGTCAGGACTAGCCGTTCAAA